CCCTTTTTAAAAAAGAGGACCCTATTATATAAGCTTCAAGCCCCTTAAAACTCAGAATCACCCGACTATATCCTCACAAGGTATTAATATGGTACAGTTTTTATTTGAATTCCTCTGTTACTCTGAGCGTTTCCTTGCCTTGTGTTTCTCTTCCCTTCCATTGAAGTGTGAATGATACAAACATTACTTCTTTAGTGCTTTTATTTCATTTGGCTCATTCACCTGCACCTTTCTGCATTTATTCTTCCAACATTTCATGGAGATTTGCCGAACAATGGACATTATGGTAGGCTCTGGCATACTGAAATAAGCATTCAAAATTGTTGAATAAGCAAGTGAATTAATAAATGGGTCGATCAAACACTGATGTTTGTAGGATACTACCATTTTTATTCTAATGTTTTCATTTTTCAGTTTTCTTTGTTAGAGGTTAACATAATTATAGTTCTCATTTTCCCTGTAATTGAAACTTTTATAAGCTTCAAGAATAACATTTTTTTACTTCTGTACCTTTTGATATGATAAGAAGCTCCAATTGGAGAGTAAACTAGAAGGTTGGTTGAGAGCAAAGGTTCCTCTTTTAATCTATGAATTACTTCAAAAGAATTATACAACTTTTAACCTTAAGTCCATGGTTTTGCAACTAAGACATACTGGAAGAACAGGAATTGTATCACTTCATTACTGAGACTGCAGGAGTTGAACTTCAGTAAATATCATAAGTAACCATAAGGAATGATGATATTAATGAAAGAATAACAGTTATAGTCTGAATCATATAAAACAGTCCCTTTAGCAATCATATTACCAGTAGTGGGCTCTGAGGGAGTCTATCCTTTATGTGTTAGCCTACATGTTACTTCCTCTGGGAGGACTTCCCTTCCTTTACAAAGTAAGATGGGTATTTCCTACAGTGGGTTCTCATAGGATCCTACTATTGGAGTCTCCACATCTTACTATCACTGGTTTTAACAATTTTTTTTCCATCAGACCATAAAGTCTATGAGGACAAGCCTCATATCAGTCTTCCTCACTATTTTATTCTCAGGGGGCTGGAAAATACTAAGCATATTATAAACTGTTGATAAATGAAGAGAGGAAGGGAAGAAAGGAGACGAGAGGGAGGAGGAAACTTTTCAAATATTGAGGAAGAATTGCTCAGTTTATTTAGTGTTGAAGAAACAATAATAAGGACAGTACTTCTGGAAATATTTCCTTTATGAGTAGGATTTCACTAGCTCCTTCCTGTGCTTAATAAATTGCTGAAAATAATATAAAAGAATGTTATTTCCTTCTCTGATTCCTCTAGGAAATGAAGACACAAATCATTGAATATAAATGACTTAAGCCAAAGTGGTTCTTCTTGGTTCTTATGTCACTGTTTTGGAGTCAGCCCAGCTCTCCCCACTATACCATCTGCAGCGTGTCTTGAGCATCTCCCCCTCTCCCATCTGACTCTTCTTTGCACTGTTAGATTCTCAAATCTTTTTCCTCCCACTCATCTCCCAATGTATGGATGTTTACCCATATTCTAATAGAAGAGAGAGAGTGTGTGGACCATCTGAAGGAGTGGGTTGTCTAAACATATCTTTGTTTGGCTTCCAAACAACTGTGTAGCTTTTTTATATAATCAGATAATTTGCTCACTGCTTGAGAAACAGAATTCCTTAACTGACAGTCCAAAATTGGAAACCACAGCTGTTTTTAGCAATTGAGTCATTGCCTTTCAGGTGCCAAAAATATCACCTATCATATTTTCCAGGACTCAAGAAAGGGCAAAGGTAAATGTATGAATAGAGGATAAAGGTACCATAAAGCTCTAGGCACAGACATTAATATTAAAATAACTGTAATAACTGTAACAATATTTATAAACAATAAGAACCAGTATTCAATAGAATTAACAAAGTAGCCTCATGTGACCATTCTAATCTCCCTAAGAAGAAGAGAAAGCAGTATTCTTAGCATGTTGATTTTCAGATGAAGAAAAAAAAATCAAAGAAATCAAGTGACTGTCCCAAAGCCACATAACAAAGCCTGAGTTCTAGCACAGGCCATCAGATTTGAAATCTTCTCCCATTCAAACAGTCTCATGACAGGTTTATTAAACTACTCCCACACAGCTCTATTTTGGTAGGAAATCTGCCCCTTTTTAGTCACTATGGGCCTAAGAGGGGTGGGTCATTAGGACTTTCCTTAACTTCTAATAGAGAAGTGTGGCAGTTAGGATAGAATGTAAACTTGCGTGGCTTTGGGACCATTCAGGGGCTTGGCAGAGCACACTTCTGGGTTGTCTGGTGGCTCATGGAGATGTGGCCTTATGGTCTGTGGTTCCTTGCCCCTTCATCTCTGGTGTTCTTCCCCTGCTCTGCTTCCCAGCTGCCATGAACTGAGCAGCTTTGCTCCACCTGCCCTTCTACCATGGTGTTCTGCCTTGGAGCTGGTTATAGTTTTAAAAACTGTATATATTTTTCCTCATGGAATGATTTAATTTTTTGTTTTAATTAACTTGCAATATGGGACTTGTTTGTCAGGTACTATGAGATATCTGAACACATGTATAAAATGTATATTGATACAATAAGGGAAGTTAGAATTTCCATCTCTTTACAATTTTTTTATGTTTGAAAGCTTTGTTCTTTTTTCTTCTAGTTAGTTATAAACTATACAATACACTACTATGAACTATAGTGACCCTACTGTGCTTTATAACAGAAGAACTTATTCCTTCTGTTATGGGTTATATCTAGATGTCTGCCTGAAGGCCTGAATCACCAAAAACCATGATCCAGATTAAACCTCCCCTCCTTTGAGTTATGGGTGTCAGGAATGTCTTAGAGATGAAAAAACTAATATGAGAAACAAAGATCCAGGCTCAATTTTAGGCTGAGGTTCCAGGTCCATAAATGTTAAAACCCTATCCCATCTCTGAACTGGTTTTGTGAGCCTGCAGGAAAAACACTGAGTCAATCTGCTCCAGTTTGCATTTTGGGCCTCCATTGTTCAGACCTTCACTCCCCAACCTGCAGATGTTGGGAAAAGCCAAAGCAACTTTTCAACAATCAAAGTTTGGTGCCCTGCTCTGGCCCCAGCTCTCATCTCCCAGGGCAGGGAGTGTGGGATGTGGTGAGAAGTCCTCTCATCCTGGACAGCTGGCTCCAGGCTGCTGTAGACAGTGGAAAGGCAATCCCATGAGTTAAATATCAGAAAGTTTGTGTTTCAGAAACACTTCCAGAAGATACCCATTTAAGGAAATATCTGGCCGGAGTTTTGAAAAAAAGAATTGGTGAAAGAAATCTTTAGAGCCCACTGAATGAAACAATGAAAATAGAAATGTGGAAGATGGTGTCTTCCAAAAATTACTATTAGAAATATTTATAGTCCTATATGCTTTTCCAGAATCTTGCCACTCTTTAATCATGACAGCAGTTAATTTCTTCTCTTTTGAAAACCCCATGGGTCTTGGTTACTGCTTCAATATGTGGACAAAATAGCTAAAGGTGATACAGCTTCAACCTGGTTTTCTCTATGGGCAAAGGACTTAGAACCTTGAGAGGAAGTCCAGACCATACATAAAATTCATACATAAGTATTCTGCCCCAACTGAGGTACTAGCTGATAGCAGGCATTACCTGCCAGACGTGTGAGTAAACAAATTTTCGATAATTCTAGTATCTAACATCTGAGTCATCTCAGTCTTTAAGTATTACATCTGAGGGTTCAGTCATTGCAGAGCAGACTAAACCATCTCTTCTATGCCTTCTGGGAGTTCCTGGCTCATACAGTCCATCACTATAATAAATCACTGTTTCATGCTACTGAGTTTTGGGGTAATTTGTTGCCTAGCAAGAGATAACCAGAATAAGGGGACATGTTTATGACAGCCAAAAGGAACCAGCCCCTTTGCTAAATCTAGCTCTCACCTTCCAGGTTCCTTCTGCATGTAGGTCATTTTTCTTAAGAGATCTACTGTTCCCCCTTCAACGGTACTTTTGGCCCCACTCCTACATATCCCATCAGACATATGTTTTGATATCTGATTTTGATAAGACCTACATGCAATTGCTTAATATTATGTAGTTTCTCCTTCTTCTTCACAGATGTGAGATTTTACCTGGCTGATTGTAAGACATCTAGGAATAATATAAATATAGCTCAGAAGTGTCAGTGTCCAAGACTGGAATTTCACTTGAATGAACATAATTGTTCTCTCCTTAAACTAACCTAAAATAAACTGAAAAAAAAAAAAAAAGTAAACATCCTTTCCTTATAAATTCACAATTTAGAAATAAATCATTAAAATATATGTTATTAAGATAAAATGTTTTAAAAGCATTTTATAGTTGCATTTAATTTTTAATGAAGAATGAGGTTAGAGGGATTAAGAAAAACAATTCTTAAAAACTATATATATATTTTCCATATGGAATTATTTATTTTTTTAAATTTTAGTTTTGTTTTAATTACCTTGCAATATGGGATGTGTTTATCAGGTACTATGAGATATTTCAATACATGTATAAAATGTGTATTGATACAAGAAGGGTAATTAGTACTGTCATCTCTTTAGGATTTCTTTATGTTTGGAAGCTTTGTGCTCTTTTCATCTAGTTAGTCATGAACTATACAGTACACTACTGTGAACCACTGTGCTTTATAACAGTAGAACTTATTCCTTCTGTTATGGGTTATATCTAGATGTCTCCCTCTAGAAGGTCCATGTGCTCATAGGTGGGTTTATTTATTTATTTATTTATTTATTGAGGTGGCTAGATTTAGGGTGTGTGAATGTGGGTTAAGTGTGTGAATATGGATTAAGTGTGTGATAACTAAATTAGTCCACTGATTGAGCTTAACATAGTTTTGAGTGTCCATGCCCATTTGGACTGCATTATTTCACTGCTTTTTTTCTCCAAATCCCACAGTCCATTGGGGATCCAGTGGCTTTTTCCTTGCCTTACCCTCAAATTCATTTCTCTTCCCAGGATACTTTTACTCACTTTCTGAATTTTTCTAATCTGGTCAGAGAGGGTGTCTAACAGACGAGTTTTCAGGAAGTCCATCACTTTGACCACTCGGCCATCAATGTAGCAACTGGAATGAAAAGAAAGTAAGAATCAGATAAAATCTTGAGCATGGAACTACAAATATACTTCTCTAGCTAAAGGTATGTGTTGTCTGAGGAAACCATCTAGGGATTCACTGGGCTCTCCCATCTTGAAAGGTTTTGACTCTAGGTTCTTTTCAAACAAAAATATGTTTTTTATTATATCCATTTCCATGTCCATTTGTGGACAAGTGCTGGTTTTTTTCAACCCTTGTCATATAAAACCCATTACTTTCTCTACAAGAACTGACAAGAATTCCATAATACAAATTGCATAATGGGAAAGGTTTCCTTTTTTCCTTGAGAGAGTGACTTAATACTCATCTCATGCCCATCTCTATCCCTACCTTAAAGTAATAAAAGTATGTGACAGTGTCAAAGGATTACTCAAACATTTTGGTAGGTTTCTGCAACTTTAAATAAGAAAATAAATATGAAAGCAAAAATTTGACTCGGTGCATTGAGTGGGTCTCAAATGATTTCAATTTCTAGCTCACTTCCCCAGCAAAATACCTTGTAAAGAACCATCTGCTACTACCTTTGGGATGAATAAGTGTGGGAACAGAAAAACAAACAAATTAATAAACAGTACAAATTAAAGTCCTCGAGTGCACTCCTAAAACAGTAAAGAGTTAGTATGCATTGGTTTCTTCTTTTGGTCTGGTTTTCATCAAGTAGCTGAAGTGTAACATCCAGTTGTACTGACACTATGTTGTGAACATGTGACCCAAACAGACCTACCTAGCTTTGTGGGGACTTCTTTTATGGGCTCTTTGTTCTAAAGACTAAGCTAGGATGGGCCCAGTGTTAGGTGACCTTCATTACCTCAAACTCTTTTATTATCACCTTTGCCAAATTCTGAATTGAATCATTTAAAAAATGATTATGATTCCTGGGTGTCTTTTCTAACCCAGGAGGGTCTCCTTGGTTGATGGTTAATGACATATTTTTTCATGCTTAATAAAGTATCCACCTGTCAGTACATGTTAAGGAACAATGTAAAATTTACTTTTAATGTTAAATTTCTATACCAACATATGATGTATTGGAATGGTTAGGTTTTACTTTTTTTTGTGTGTGTAAACCTGGTGTTCCGGCTGAAGTGAGCCAATGTTCTGGTAGGAGATGAAGGGTGCTCATGCATGCATTAAAACATTTCCACACAATCCAATATTTAAATGATTGATTGGCATGCAGAAAAGAATATGATTTTAGAGCCAGAGACAACTGAATTCCAATTCCAGATTGGTACTTATCATCTATATGATCTGGAGTAGTAACTTGGTCTCTGTGGACCTCAGTTTCCTTATCGTTAAAAGAGGTTTCTATTCCTAAGAATTAATTGCAAGTTAAAGAGCTAATGAGTCCAGAGTGCCTGGTACACAGTAGGCGCCAAACATTTAGTTATTTTCTAATTTTTAGCTCAGAAATATGGTTTATAAATAATATGGGACTGATGAATGAATTTTGTATGAGTACAGAATTCTAAAAATGTGGAAATGCTGTGTCAGAGAGTACACAGTTGGATGGTTACTTACTTTAGGAAAAAAAACAAACAATGATACTGTATTTCACCCCAACCCTGGAACAGATGCTAAAGTCAGATTTGGTAAACATTTATTGTGTACAACATACATTGCAAGGCAAATCCATTATTAAGATATCTTACAAACCTCTTCCTGTTAGAATATCATTATTGGTAACTCTGATTTTTTTTAAAACGTTGAGATAGATGATACATTCTAAAAAAGGCAGGCATACTGAGACAGAATAATGTTAAAATCTAAACTTATGCAATGAGGGGCTGGGGATTCAGCTCAGTGGCAAAGCGCCTGCCTGGCAAGCGCAAGGTTGGGAGTTTGATTCCCGGTACCAGAAGAAAAACAGAAAAAATAAATAAATAAACTTACGCAATGTAAATTTCACACACAATTGAAGCCATGAACATTTGTACTATACTCTGTGGTGGCTAAGCTTATGGCAAAGATGTGCACTGTAATTCTTCTGCTATCAACATTTTATAGTTTCCTTTTCTTCTGCTAGTTCCCCACTGTGTTAAAGATCACTGTTTATAATCTTTGATGGGAACTCATACAATTTAATACTTATTGAGATAAAAATGCCAATATATTTTTCAATATGGAGGACTCTCTGTGAAGATCTTCACAAGCCCACTACGTAGGTGGTTAAAGATCCCTTCACACTTTTCCTTCTTTCTTTTGTTCCTTTCTCAACAGAACCTGGAGTTAAAAAAAAAAAAAGAAAACTACTCAATCCATTTTGCCACTTACTACCTATGGGATATTGGATTTCCTTTCTTTATGATAAGTTTTTAAAAAATTCACATCCATATATATATAGTGGTTTTCATAGGGTTACTGTATCAATCAAATAAAGAAAAATGCTGACCATAGAACCTGGCACATAAAATGTATTTAATAACAAAATCCACTGTGTTAAGTAGGCCCAGGTAGCAGAGCAAAAGATTATGGGATAGAGTGGGCAAGGGAAAGTTTCTCTTCAGAGGAGAGCATACTTATCCATTGTAAAATATGAAGAAGACAAATATAGAGCAGCAAGAACATACTTGAATTCCTAGCAGGCAGGAGGCAGAGGGAAGTTGACTCTCTGTTACTGTCCACTCAATGGCTAATATTTTAGTTTTCTGGATCTAGAAATAGTTCATTTCCTTCTTCCTGTGTCTCATGGGAGAGGAACTCCAACAAAAACTTTGGCTTAAGCCTTTAGAATCTATTTTTGACCCTATACTTAACCTAACAAAGTAGATTCAATCATTCTCAGTTGGTCTTGGGTTATTCAGTGGAAAGGGCTGCTCATTGGATTGGAACCAGAAGAGTTACAAGCAGGAAAACCAGTGGACAAAGTTATCTTACTGGCCAGGCAAGAAGTGACCTGAGTCTAAGTAAGGAGAGGCCAAAAGAAGTAAGTGGTGGTGAAGGAAGGGAAAATTTATAAAACTTATGTAGTGGATGAGAGTACGGAAGGGAGTTAATGATGACCATAGACATATGAGAGAGTGTTTTCTAGCACACTGATAGCAAGGACCTACAGTCTAGTCAGACTGACACTTTTTTTTTTTTTTTTTTTTTTTCCTCCGGTACCAGGAACCGAACTCACGACCTTGCGCATGCCAGGCAGGCGCTTTGCCGCTGAGCTAAATCCCCAGCCCCAGACTGACATTTTGATTTTCAAGGGAGATGAAGAATTCTGCTTGAGATATCAAAGATACACACACTGTCAAGGAAGAAATACATACTAGGTCATTGGAGATATGAGAAGGAGTTAAAAAGTAGAGACAGGAAAGGTTGGTCTGGGCTTCTTCTTTAGCTTATAAATAAATAGTTGAAGCCATGAATGTAAGCTTTCTAAGCAAAGAAAGAAAGTTAACAGACATGTCAGAGATCCTTTCCTAACATGGCCCTGTACATTGCCTCCACCTTTGACCAAGCAAAGGATCCTTTCCTCCCCCAGCTTGACCATAATAGCACTTAGTCTGTGTTCAATTCACATTTTGGCGTCAAGGGAATTTCAATAAAATATCAAAAGGTCTTAACTTTCACTTAAAAGTTTACACTCACATTTATGCTGTACTATGGAAATAGGAACTTTGGTCATCCAAATTTGGTATTACTTTTAAGAGAGGGGGTCATTTAACCACAGGTTACGAATCTGATAAATCTCTAAGCCTCTTTCTTCAATACTCTTAGACAATTAACTTGCTGTGTTTTACACTTGCGAATGTGAAGCTTCTAAGAAAACATCAGCATAGAAAATCTATGGCTATCTGAAAAATTCCTGCCTGTTACAGATCATTTTGGTCCTGATAGTGGCTGTCTGTAGTGACAGGATTAATATATCAAACAGATCTGGATAAGAGGTGAATCAGTGACCCTTTGGTAACAATAAATTGCTAAAAGTAACAGTGATTTCTTACTTTTCTTTTTTAGGTGGTAAAGGGATTCTGGTGATCAAATCCAGGGCCTCATGCATGGTAGACAATCACTCTTACCATGGAGTTATACCCCTAGCTCCAATAATGGTATTTTCTAACAAACAGTGGATAAGAAAAGTAAAGTTAGATTCCAACTGATTGATCCGTGATTGGGAAAAACTCTGTTTTTCTGTCTTTCTCACTGAGGAGATAAAGCTGACTTTTAGCTGTTCAACAGTCTCCATAAGATTTAATTAATTAATTTAATGATGACTACAAACATTTCCAAAGACCAAATAACAGAAAATAAAGGAAAGGGAGGATGATTTGTCAGTTAGAGATGTTTTGGCAATTCCCACATAAACCTTCACAGAAGGATTTTTGAGTCACTTAGACTGTCACTTTTAGATAAATTATAGTTCTCTTTCAAGCTCTCTTGAAATTTCAGCATGTCTCTGGATCTCAGCTGACTGAGCTGTTCAACAAACTGAATCCAAGAAAAGCTGTAATGATCATTTTAGCAACTACTATAGATGTAATAAGTTTGAAACCTTCACACATAGTCAAAAGGTCTGTTTGATCAGTAACAGCAATATTCATTCCTGTCTCTAGCTTGCAAGTCCTATCAAGCACACATCAGGCAAGAGCCAAGGATGGCAGAATATACAAAGTAAATGAAACCATTTACCAACTGTAGTGGATTGACAACTGCTGGTCAACTTATAACCCCCAGCTAAACTGAGTGAGGTGCTGCATGTGGGAGGCACACCTGAGGACTTACCAGCAGCAGAAGAGGCAGCATAGGAGAACAAAGGAGGCTTTTGGGAACAAAAAAGAGCTGATGGGGGCAGAGAAAGGCTGTTGGGAGCTGGCGGAAGCTGTAAGGAGCTGTGGGTTGTTTTGGAGGAGCTCCTCATGCTAGCTTTCCTGATGAACTTGGCTGTTTTCATCCTCCATGGAGCTCGTGACCTCACTGGCACTGAGAATGGCTTTGGTTCACTTTGGGGGAGCTCTGGTTCTCACTCTGAGCCTCGC